AGAGAGAGAGAGAGAGAGAGAGAGAGAGAGAGAGAGAGAGAGAGAGCTTTTTAGAGTGATTTTCCTAGGAAACACCCTTTAATTCCATTAAAAGTCATACACATTTGAAAGAGAATTTCTCTCGTGAACCAGAGAAGAACAAGAGCCTGAATGTAGATGAAACAGAAGACTGGGCAATCGAGAAAGACAGACGTGGCAGTGAATCTTTGAATGGAAGAGTATTTTCCTGTGAACCAAAGAGGTGAAATAAGGGTGGTCTCTGGGCTTGCTGAAGATTCCATGGGTGAGGGGGGAAAGGGTCACACACCCACACACCTATGGCAGCCTTTAAGCACCAGGCATAGAACTGGACAGATATAGGAAACATTTGAAGACTTTTACCCCACCTTGGGGAAGCTTGTTGAAAAACTATATGGAAGCTATTTGATCATGAGCATATGGATCCCAAATGATTTTTCCCCATATTGAGACAGTTTCCTATGGGAATATATTGATGAGAGAATTCTATAAGAAGTAGAACATAGTCACCTTTGAACATAAAACTGGGAAACATAGTGTGGTGGAGCGCACCTGCATTCCCAGCATTTGAGGGGCTGAGGTAGGACGCTTGTGAGGATCTGAGCCAGCCTGGGCTCTCCAGCAGTTGCAAGTCTCACCAGGGATAAACAGTGAATCCCTGCCTCCACAAAAAGTACAGCATCAATGAATTAAGATTGACAGGCACCTTGAAATTGAAATCTGTCCCAAGAATAAAGAAATACTTTCAAATGATGCTACTGAGTTAAAAGTAAAAAGCAAACTACAAATTAGTAGTCTGTCAACAATTCTTCCCAGCACCTTAGGGGCATCGGTCCTTTTGTCTTGCTTCTTTAATCTCCTCCTCCTCCTCCTCCTCCTCCTCCTCCTCCTCCTCCTCCTCCTCTTTCTCCTCCTCCTCTCCCCAACCCTATCTTTGAGTATTTTTAGTAAGCCATGGTGCCACCGAAGTCTAAGCATGAATTCTACACAGAGGAAGAGGAACTTTTGCTCCCTATGAATGTGAGAGTTGGGACTCTGCCAGCCGAGCACTGTCCTGAGAGCTGGGCTATCACTTCTCTCACAGTTGCAGTTGTAACTGGTATCTGGACATTCACTGCACAGGGAATGTTCTTTGCTACTATTGCTGAAGCAGCTGCTAATTAAATTGACAGACTCTCAAAGTCTTATTAAGATTCGTCTATTCTGCTTCCAGAAATCAGCTCCCATTAGTAGGACAGCTGATTTTATAAACCTAAACAAAAAATTAAAAGCCTCAATGTTTGCTTGTTTTAAATAAAAGTTGACTTAATTCACACCTACTGATGGAGCTGCAGTAAAGTGATAATGTACTTTAAAAAAATTCTTTAACTGTATTTTTCCTTAAACACATCTGTCCTCCACTTTGACTGACAACATTACTCAGAAGATTACGACAACTGTATAGATAATGCAAATAGAAAACAGCCATAATGAGCAAATCTGGTGGACCAGTGGACCTACATGACTAAGTGACTAGAAACCTGCTTGCTGCCAGTTTGTAGTGCTTTGTATATAACAATTGCATATAACAATTTAGATCTCCTAACTGATTCACAGGCCCTCACATAAGTAAGTGTTTTAGTAAGGAACAATACAGGAAGGTGCGATGTAAAGAAAGTCATCTGTAGCACAAACAAGACAAGAGCTTAGGCATAGTAGAGAGGCCACATCTGCACTGCATCTGTTTGTTCACTCACTGGGGACTACGAGACAAAAAGATGAAGACATTTACACAAAGACTATTAGACAACAAGATCAGAAAAGCATCGTGACAGCTATATGGGGGTGCTATAAGGGGGGCTTTGAAAGTTTTACTAAGGAAACACTAGAGCCCCTTCACAAGCAATACTTTTTAATTCATTCAGTGCTCAAGATTTTATCAAGGTGGAGAATGGGTTGATCCATCCAAATTGTTGCTGACCCTATAAAATAGAAAGATGTGATGTTTTAAAAACATCTTATTAACTCAGTAGCACTGGGGTTTTATAAAAGACATGCATGGCTTCATGTCTTTTACACAGACATCTTAAGTCAATGCCGTAATTTTAAAAATTCTACTTCTACATGAGAGTAATAGACAAATCACAATGACAATTGTGAGTCCATTTGATAGTGCTCAGAAAGCATAAGTCTTCACACGAGTGGACAGTCTCTAAATTTAAGCATCACTGTTTCCCTTTGCTTACATGCCAGCCCTGTGGCTATGAGAAAGTGTAACTATATATATAACAAACACAACTTTCATGTTCTCAGAAAAACATTAGAATGTAGACAGCATGAAGTAAGCTCCATGATACCAAACTTCTAAGCTTTACTTTAGAAAGATGAAGTCAGACAGATTAATATGTATGCACATTACAGGTATAAATATGTGTGTATTAATATACCATATATTTATAAAACAGTGTAAGTAATAAAGAAGCAGAAATCAGTGTAGAGTCTATAAATTTTGGAGAAAGATATCTGAGTAAATTTGTCTGTCCCAAGTAATGACCAGAAGCTGCCATTTTTAGTCTGAACAAAGAGAAAGAAAACTTACATTACTAATTAATCAAACTCCCATGCCTTTCTCATTCTCAAATGATAAGACAATCTCAGAAGGGAGAAATGCTGTCTCATATTATGCTATTAACTTATGCTTACACAATAACTTATGTCTCACTTACAAGTTTATTTTGTTTAAAGGGAGCCAGATTTAATCCATCTACAGCATTCTTTTTTATTTATTTAATTGATTGATTTGAGAATTGCCTGGCTATGTAGTCCAGGATGAACCCTAGCTTTGTAGTCTAGGTTTTACCCACATTCAAGATTGTGCTTCATCGGGCTCATCGAGTGCTGAGATTATATGTATGTATCACCAAATCTGGCTCATGTCTATCTTTTGAGAGACAGATTTTGTAATTTCTTAACTGTGGGGCTGAATATGTCCCTCTCCTCATTAGTGTCATTTAGTGTGTGACAAACTAAGTATTTTTTTTTTTAAATAAAAGTCAGATTGAACTTCCTCATCACTGTCCTTTCTGACCAAATCTTCTCATGCTTTCTGGTATTTCATGACCTCATGCCTTGATTTATTGAGCTACATTCATTATTTATTGTTCTAGTGAATACATTTCTAGAAGTCAACTTTCATCTTTTCTGGATCAAGGCTAGTTGGAAGCAGATATATAAAATAAAGGATTTAATGACTCAAAATAGCTAACAAAGGTAAGAAACCACCTACAGTAGATAGTAGTGAAGGATCATCATGTTCAGGCTCCAAGACCTGAACTCTGTATGTGTTCAATTATAACAAACATTGATAACTAAAACTTCATTGTACAATTGTTAAAAGGCTTTAAAGCTTTTAGATTCTGAATCTATTTTACAATATATTTAAAGAGCTTATAAAACTCTTGAGATTCTTTTCCCTAACCAACAGCCTGCTGTAGGCATTGGGCCAGCATAGCAGAGAAGCCGCCCAGAAAACTTGCCTCTCCCAAACAATCCCTCAGCTAACACATAAGGAAAGTAACCTAATTACTGGAAAGCAGGGACAAGAAAATAAAAAGTATAGAAGGGTAGAGAAGCATTAAATGCAAATGCACATTAATTGTCTTTGCTGTGGAGAACAAAATCAGTGTAGATCCTAAGGGTACCCATTCAATGAAGCCTTGATTTTGCATAACATGTGCAAAGAGCCAAGGACCAGGAAAACGACTAATTTTAATTACCAGGAAAGCTGTAAGAACGGGATCACAGAGCTCCAGCGGTATCTTGGCTTCCAGCTACCGTCTCTGTGCGCCTTGCCAATTACAGCCTCTTGAAGCCACTGGGAGCCAAAGCCACGCGCAGAGGATCCATCCAGCTCAACGCATGCTTGGGTTGGACGCACACACATGTGAGCAGCGTGTACATCCTGGTACAGGTGCAGCTTGAAGCTCATGCAGAGTTCCAAGTGTAGACAGGCTGGCAGAGAGAATGTGTGTGATTCCAGACTTGTCACATACAGGTGCAAGCCACATGGAGTTTGAGGCAAAATGCATGTAACAAAATTTATTTCATAAATATTGGATTGCAGCCACACACATGAAACTGAGCACTCAAAGACAAGGAAAGTGGAGAAACCTGAAGAACAATGACACTAAAGCTGCCACCTCAGATTTTCAACTAGGCTTTTTTTTTTTTTTTCAACTATGGACACTGTGACAGAAAATTTCAGAAAAACAAAAACAAAACAAAAAGCAGCAGCAACAACAACAAACTGCTATTTCCTTTGCTGTTTAGAACTGACTCTAAACCACCTCCATGGACCACTCACCACCCTCAAGGGCAAGATAACAGCCCCAATCCCAGCACCCTGAGTTGGATGTGTACACGAAAGAGACTCTCCTTCCAGTTAGAACCTAACCATACTCTCCCAAGTTCCAGTTCCCCTCTGGAGCCCACACAAGTGTGTGCCTGGGTCTGAGCCTCTGGCTGTCTGAGCTATCAACATAGCCTGATAATCAGCAGGTACAGCGTCAGGCCAAGGGAGGAAAAGACCCAGAGTCTGCCAGCTTCTGGTAGATCCTTCAGCCAGCACATTCGCTCTCACTGGAGAGGTGGCCAGGTAGGGGAATGGCCTTCATGACTTTGGAGAGAGAAAGATTGGAGAGGGAATCGGTTGGCGAGCGATGCCAGTGGAGTACCTTCTAAGAAAAGAAAGAAATCCAAAGCTCTGCTTGAAGCACAGTCTTTTACAGGCAGGGACATGGTAAATGAGCCTTTGCAGCGCAAGGCAGTGAGGCGCCTGGCGACGGTGACAGCGCGGAGCGGGAGGGGCGCGGGCCGCTCCGGGAGGGACCCAGCCAGTCAGGGCGCGAGGCGCGGGGCGCGTGGACACATTGGAGCATCCGTGCGAGCCCCGAGCAGCAGCGGGAGGAGGCGCCCACTTGCACCTGCCTGCATCTCCCAACTCCTCCGCCCCGTGCAACTGCCGGCAGCCAAGTGCCATTAAAGCTGGCAACCAGGAGGATGCCTCACCTGGGTCCCCTCTGCTGGGAGAGGCAGGGCAAGCCAGAGGAGAATTCCCAGTGAAGGACTCAGAACTCTGCGATTTCTCTTCTGTCACAGGCTGCGGAGCATCCAAGGAACTGCTCCACGTGAGGTGTGTCCAGGGCAGGAGGATGGGAGACAAGGATTGAGAGTCACCGAAATGGACAGAGGCAGCTGGCATCTCATTGGTAAGTGGCTGGCATTCCTTAGCTGGTGACTGCTCCCTGTGAAGCTGCACTTCGGTTCCCAGCCACTTAGGATTTTTGACACAATCTCTTCTGCAAAGCCATCCTTCCTTGTCGTGTTGCCAGAGGTAAAAACTGTTCAATGATGCTTGTTTAAAGACGGGGGAAACAGTATTTTTTTTTCTCTGCTGGGATTTGATGTTGAAAACTTGAAGCAAGTATAAAACCTATTAGTATGTTTCATATAGCCACCAGAAAGAAAAAGAAAAAATTAGAAACAAGTACGGTTTTGGATGACAAATGTCAGGAGGGATAAGAATGCTTTTTTTACCAAAGCAATAAAATGTTTTGGAAGACAAAAAATGAAATGGAGTTCTCAGGTCCTGGCTGAGAGTCTCATAGTCTGAGTAACTGAGAATGCAGACAGACTACCTGAATGTGTAGTTGTGCACAACTTGTTAAAATTCAGTAGAGATGCGAGTGGAGTTCTGCAAAGTTTGGGGAACTGAGAAAGGCGGCACCTTGAATTATGCTGAGTGATCTCCCCCACGTGTTGTGCATAGATGTTTGCTGAATGCATGCTCCCAATTTCTTATTTTTATAGGAGAGTGTTTTCTGAATTTCTATGACTATGATGTGCAGTAAGCTGAGGATTGCTATGACAACCTGAAAATTTTCAGGTTGCTTAAATTTATTTTATTCCAAAAAGAAAAAGAATTACTAATACTTCAGAATAATTTTATGTAAAATTAGCATAGGTAAGACAAAAGCGTAGTAATTTTAGGACAGGTTTGCAAGAGAACTTTGATAGTGTTCTGTGTGTGAGGCTTTACCCATACACAGTCCATATGCTTTTATAAAAAGAAGTCACTTAGATAATTCAGTTCTCTTCTCCGACTCTGAGTCTTAGCCATGAAAAAGAAGAAATGAAAACAGTAGCAAACCTTAAAATAGCAGTATCATAAAAAGAGAAACAATGAATTAAGTTTACAAACTGTTATAAATGTAATTGGTTGTTACTGGGCTGCAGCACACCTTCTGAATTACCTCTAAATGTCACAGCAGGCTATAAGTTCTGCATCCTGATTAACACCAAGACTAAACTGAGACTAAGACAGGAAGAAATGCTGACAAACTGCCATGGCCAGTGGTGAGCAGCTCACCTGTGGGGCTTCCCATAATTTCTCATTTCATGCTGGAAGTATTTTAGTATTTCATGGCACAAGCCCGAGTCTTAAGCTTGGCAGGCATGCTTATACAGATGAGACAATAAACAGTCAATGACTATATACAAATAGATTTTACAAAGTGGCTAACATCATGGATATATTATGTTAAAAGTCAACTGAATCTAATCAATAGTAGAAAGAATACAGTTCAGGCTCAAAAGTTAAAACAATAAATGTAATATAGGAAAAGAATTTTTGGACTAGTTATCTTAGTTGGAACATTAGACATAAAAGAGGTTGTGTAAACCACTGACTGCTTAGTGCAGAGACTGATGTTTGGAGGTAAGGATTGGTGAGCACCTTAATTTTACCTAAAACTTCTGAAAACTACCAGAGTAAAAATTGTATTAGACCCCTCTCTGGTTTTATATGGAAGCAAATAGACAATTAGGATACTTAAAAGTTAAAAAATGAAAATGATTACTATGATGAACTAAATGCTATACTTTGGTCTGATGCTGGGAGTTTAATTTACATTAGAATGCTTTTGGAAGGTATCTGGAAAGACTTGTGGGATTTTTAAATGGATGGCTGATATACCTGAACAGTTCTCAAGGTTTGTAAAATCAGTTTAGCCATTAGGGGGCCTGAAACCTAGTAGTGACTGGCTAACAAATCAGAAAGAAAAACTTTAAATTTATAAATAGAACATATATTATTTTAAACATTATAAATCAGCTGTGCAACAAAATATTTTGAAACTTACACTTAAATCAGTCTAATTTAGTGGAAAATGTAACTTGTTTGTTATATATGCTCCTTTACGTGTCCTTTTGTTTGACCGTTTGGGAAACCTTTACTACCTTCAAAGTAGAATGTAGGAGTGTGGCTTGCTGGTCAAGCTGACTTAGCAATTGGGACCAGAGGGTGTCAGTGAAGGGCAGAGAGCTCACCAGAAGGCAGCAAGTGGGTGGTGTGCTGGCAAAGGCATTGTGGAGTTTTCTTTACTTGTAGATGAAACAAAAGATACATTTCTGTAAAGACTAAAATAATATCACAATAAATTGTCTAACTATGATACTGTGAGGGGGACTTTGGTAAACAGAATTTAGGCATGCTCAACAGAGTTTATAACCAATAGAAGTACAGCTCTCCATTCCACAGCCTATGAAGCTAAGATAGCTGCACAATTAGAATTTTCTTTATCCAAACCATCACACATACTTGATTACCTAGTATTGTAATTACACGTGAACTGTATTTGAATGCTCTTTCTAGACCATATAGAAATGAGTGATTTCTCCTCAAATATATGCATGCCTCTATGTGTTTAGATTCTCAAACTCTGGCATCCAAAGCTTATGTGTATATGCCTTTCTTTCTTATTCCCCAAAATACAAACCTGTACTAACCCAGTTGTGTGTTTCTGAGATGCTGTTTTTCTAGGTTAGTGTTAAGATGTTTCATGAACTTCTCAGTCCTTTAGAGCAGGAGAGAAGCTGGTCGGAAGCTCAGAGCTGTGACATCCCTGCAGTTCTATTTCCTGAAGCCTTGTGATCAATAAGTCCACACTAGAAGCTGGTTCACTTTAAAAAGTAATGAAGTTCATAAAACTCCTTAGCAGTTGAATTTGGATTAAAGTTCATTATGAACTTTTCTAATCTCCCTGCTCTTTAAGAGTATTGAATATTCCTATGGATGTGATTAGTAGGTTATGATAAATAGAATATATTATTTTTTCAATTGCTATCAGATTTATTTTTTAATAAATGACTTCTATTAAAAGTCAATAAAACAAATTATTATGTTTCAATGAAGTGGCTATTAGGATAATTTTAAATGACTTTAGTTTATATAGATTAAGTCTTTAAAAAGCCATGGTTTATAATTAAATTTTCTAATCAAAATTATTTTCACTGAGATAAATGCATTGGACTTGTTTTTCAAAAACTATTTATAAAACTTACATTGTGTTACATGCAAAATTCCTTTGCCTAAGTCAAATTTAGGCGATTTTTTTTTTATCACAATTGATCTCAGGACTTAACATGCCAAGTGTTGGAGGATATATTCTGAAACATTATGTTGCCTCTGTCTGCCAGTGAAGCTCCTTCTGCATTCTTCAGAACATGTGGTCAAAAAACAGTCCCCCTCCTCCTCCACTGCAGACAATAATGCTCTTCAAACACTGAAAAATAAACATATTTCTATCTATGGCAACATATTTTCTTAATCTAGTATAGAGTGGTGTGAATGTGTCACCTGTTACAGTCTTTATAAACTGCAGCATTGGACTCCTTTAGGATGTTATCCAATCTGAGATTACTTTGATCCCTGACATATTTTAAACAGTTTTCAAATAAAGGTTCATTAGGTGACATTGAGTGCATAGTTACGAAGCTACTTTTCCAGTGATTTTAAAATCAGTAATTTCTTCAAAATTGCTCGGTTACCATTTCTAAAAATTTGTCAATAAACTTCTGTTAACAAATTAACAGAGTCTCTTATTCCATGAATGCCAGTTGTGGTTTCAAATAGTCCACACCTCAGTATGCACAGACCTAAAAGTTCAGGTCTTGTTAAAAGCTCGTCAGCCTGCCTCCTTTCCAGCTTGTATCCTTTGATCCTCTTTTGTCGTCTTACTGCTCTAGCTGGGATGTCAATTGCTATAGTGAAGAAATAAGGAGAGTGGAGAGCCTTGGAGTTCATGTATTTTCATACTAACACAGATTAATGATCCCTGTGTCTGTTAGGAAGCATAAGCCTGCTTCTGTTTCCGTCATGATGAGTCCTGTGAAGTTTATCGGAGTTACAGGCAGCTGGATTTGGGCCTGGAAGATGATGATGAAAGCAGTCAAGGTGGATCGAAACATTTACTTGGTATCATATTAGTAGAATCCTCAGTAGGAGTTGGAACAGCAGAGTCATTTTTTGACAAGGTCTAGAAATACCTCATCTCCCATAACGCCTATAATCACTAGCTGTTCTGCTCATGTCACAATGTTGACAGGAACTAAGGAAAAAATGGGCTACTTTATGAGAAATACACTCTCCACTATATCAAATTCCATCTGTACTTTTACAGATATTGAGCTTGTGTTTGAAAGTATGATTTAATTAAAAAAATGCTCTTCTCTAAATAAGCCAAATGTAAACCGAACAGTGGGAGAGTAAGCAATCTCTGAAGTGACCTAGAATTTCCCATGTGATTTCACACAAGAATGTCCCTTTCAACAGTGTAGTATTTCCTGAGATACTATTGTACCTCAGACTTTAACATCACAGAATTATGCACAAACTCCCTGCTGGTTAAAATGAATATTAATGAGAAGACACAGTAAGTGACAATAGGAATTTTAAAAACAGTTCTTATATTACTGGAAAAATAATTTTTGTTTAGGTAACAATTCATCTTCATTAAATGTTACATGGTTCACTGGGCAACTGATCTGATTTAAGTGTTATCTCTAAAAACTTATAAAACATTCTGTTTAAGTCAGACAGGTTTGCCTTTTGAATTATTTTCTTGTTTTGAAATAGCTCTTCAGAATCCTTACCAAATTAGCTTAATTACATCTCCCACTATCTTGGAAAATAAGAAATAATTGGATAGTCATCATTTTACATTATTTAATTTAATTTAATTTTTATTATTTTAACAAGTACTTCAAGTTACAGCCTTATAAGGAATCTGGAAACTTCATCTTCTCAACCTAAGTCAGTTTCTTTAAAATGAGTCTTCTCTTACATCAGTGGTACCCTTCTAATGACAAACTTTGGACGATGATTTATATTATATTTATTATATTATATTATATTATATTATATTATATT